TGGTGGTAAGTGGTGAGAATTACAGAAAGGTAGAAAAAGCAATTGAGAACGGTGGATGGAAAAAAACTAAGTAAAAAGAATATTTGGAAGAACTTTGAGAGGGTTTTAAGAGTAATCTATGTTGATTTTCTAATCGCTTGTTGAATGGCCAAACTTCTATATCTATACTAAATAGGAGCATTTTTTTAGGAGTAATTGGTAGAAAGAGAATACATTTTGTGTGAAAGAATCTGCTGCTTATAGGAAAAGTACGTCCACTATGAGAAGAATGACTTATTGGACATTATGCAAAGAACACATAATTGGATAGTGTTTTTAAGAGAATATATTCTATATGAAAGAACATGTTTGTTATGGGAAGAGCATGCTCACTATGTGAAGAACGGTTTATGGAAAAAATACATTAATGAATAGCTGATTAGATTCTTTGTGAAGAGCACATAATTGAAAAATATGTGTAAGTTCTAGGCAGTAGAGTAATGACACTTAATAATGTGTCTCGTGTACTTTTAAGAAAGAAAAAAGAAAAAGTAAAGTACATATACTTCAAGAAAAGGTTAAGGGGAATTCTCTTTAACTACTCCCATATCTGAGCTACTAAGTCAAACTCTCTAGAACATCTCAAACATAAAAATAACTTATGAGCCATGCTACTCATTTTGTGTTACTTTCAATTCCCTGTGTGACATGGCTGTTCCATGCTTATTCTTATTCTGTAAGACAATACTTAACGAAATAATAGTTGGTTAAAATTAGGCATTTACAATTTACCTCATAGATATGAGTTTTTATAAGAAATTTTTATGCATAAAATAAAAAGATGCAATTTGAGTCATGTACATTAAATAAGTAATGCAAGGTAATACGTTTATATGTTTTTCTTCTTCAAAAGAAAGAACAACCAATGAAGCAATGTTAGAACATTTTTTTTTGTGCTTATTCCTTTCAAAGCAATGTCTTCTTTAATTGGAACCTTTATTGCTTTTGAATTAGGCTTCAAATCTCGTATACACTCTTAGAAAACTCGAAAACATGCAATGCTTGCAAATTTAATTATTGTATTATTATTTTTGTTATTTTGTTGTTACTAAATTTGCTCGTGGTTAAAAATGTCAACTTGAAGTATTACGCATTTAGGAATGTTCCTATGCATTACACACTTGGAACGTCCTTATGCATTATGCACTTGAAAATGTCACTTAAGCATTATGTACTTAGGAACATCACCTGGACGTTACGCACTTAAAAACATCATATGGACATTATGCACTTAGGAAAATCACCTAGATGTTATGCACTTGGGAACATCCCTATGTGTTAAGCACTTAAAAACCATCTTTATACTTTACACACTTAGGAACGTCCCTATGTTATGCATTTGGAATGTCGTTTGGGCATTATGTACTTAGAAAAGTCCTTAACATTATGCAGTTGGGAACATCCCTAGTGATATGTAGTTGGGAACGTCACTTGGGCATTACGCACTTGAGAACGTCTATATATGTTACACATTTGGTAAGGTCCTATGTGTTGCATACTTGGGAATGTCCCTATGCATTACATATTTGAGAATGTCCTTTATGTGTATAGACCTTTTTACCTTTTGCCTAAAAATTTTATTATTGAAAACTAATAATAATAAATTTGTTATGCATAATAAGAATAATATAAGATAATTAATATTACTAAAATAAAATTTGGATTCTAAATGACAATTCTTGAGGTAACATACAGTAAAATCTTAAAAACTCAACTATTTAAACTTTAATTGTGAATTTTTTTTTTGTTAATGCATGTTGCCTTTACACTGTTATTAAAAATTTGTATGATGCAATCAAAAATTAAAAAAGTGTTATAAAAGGTTACTAACAAAAGTACTTTTATAGACATTTTAAAAATGTATAGTCCTAAGGCATTAATATTCTAAAACATGTAAAGATAATAATAGTAATAATATGGGATATGAGTACTTATCTCATTTTTTATCTAATTTCTGCAAAATACTTTTCTTTTCCATGATAAGTCTAGTAAAGCTATTACTACTACATAGAAGGAGAAAACCACTACTAATGCAAGGTGAGTCCAGTAAAGCTATTATTGCTACACAAGAAGTACTACTAATTTGAGGAAGATCATTATTCCACGAGCCTCTCCTCTTATAAAAATTTAAGGAAAAATTGTGAAGTTTCTCTTTTATGAAAATTTTGGAAGATTTAATTTCAAAATTGATATTCAATTGCCAATATTCCATGGGCAAGTCCTTCATGGGTTGGTATGAGTACTACTATTCATATGAATATTAAGCATTGTTGTACGTGGCCAAAAAGGAACACTCAACTTCACATTAGGGACATTATCTCTCAACTTGATGTGAAATGGAGTAGTTCAACCACTTAAATAAGTAATCATAAAAGTTGTGGCCAACTTGAGAATAGCAAGTTATAGTCCAGAAGTGAGCAGTAAAGTTGGCGACCGATAGCATAATATCATTATAACCAAATTTGAGCGTTAAAGGTTGCGGCTGAAATATGAGTGATGAATTATATAGTCAAAGAATGAGTGATAAAGCTTGTGAACAAGTGCAGTAATAACATTACATCCAAAGTAAGAGTGACAAGCTTATGGTTGAAATATGACTTTTTTCTTTTACAAATGTCAAATTTTAAATACATGAAATAATCAACAATAGAAATCATTGACATATCATGCATGAGTAGGAAACGAGTTATTCTAGATTCTATTGTTTCTAGCCACTATTTCTCTTGTTTGCACCTTTTTATAAAAATATTTTACGTAGGACTCTACACTTAGGAAATGAATGATCAACTGTATGGTGATGATCACAATACCTTGGATTAAACTTTTCTTCTATTGCCGATGGTCATGAAACACAAGGTAAGTTCACCTGTCCATCCCTTATCTATTTGTGGAAAGTCGCTCTCATTCTGTTTAATGGGATTGAGAATGGTGTTGGAGAATCAATCTCATCTTATTGTTTTTTTCTCAAGTTGTCTTTTCTTGGACATAAAAAAGGTCGATGGTCTCTTCTTTCTCTACCTTTTCTTTGAATTGTGTTATTGTTATGGTATTTTTTTCTCAAAACGACTAGCTCCCTTTTGTCTAAGAATTGTATTGTTGGTCCTGCTTGACATTTCAACCAAAATAGCTAAGTTAGGAAACGGTAAATTTTTCGAATGTACCCTATACTCATTGAACACACCATGGATGCAAACCTTCACTAAATCTTTCTCTTCATGGGAATCTTGTATCTCCAACATCATTTTTTTTTAAAGTGTTGAATGCATTCTATGAGTTCTTTCCTTAAATTTTGATGTTTTCTGTTGACTCCATATGTTTTTGATGATACCTAAAGATTCCTCATTCATTAATGTCTAACTTTACTATTTAAGTGTGTAGGATAAAGTTAATCCCTTAAATAAAATTAGTGTTTAACAGCAAGATCACATAATAGATTTGTTAATCAATTAGGGTGAGAAAAAAGCAAAAGGGGTTAGTGAAAACAAAAAATCTTAATCAATTAGCACTAGGCTTAATTGATTAAGAAGGTGCTTAAAAAAGAAAAACAAAAGTGTGCTAATCGATTAAGGCATGAGTTGATTGTTTAGAGCACATAACTTGAAGAACCTCCAAGTGCCAAAATTCAAATTCAAAATAAGTTTGACTATTGAAGAGAGCCAATATAAAGAAATTTAATTTCAAAGATTTTCTAACTGATTAAGAGTTGTGTTAATCGATTAAGGCAGAAGGAAGTGAAGCTTCAATCAATTAAAGGGAGAGTTAACTAATTAGAGAAATTTTACTGAAGTAGAGAATCTTAAAGATGGAGATCTCTTAATTAGTTAGAGTCTCTTATAATCGGTTAATGTAGAGTACACAGCAACAAGACAGTGCAAGGCAAAAAATTGTAATTGATTAGAGCTGCTAGAAACCAATTAGCCAAACTCTGTCTGCCCATTTGAATTTAAACACTAAAGGATAAAATAGTCATTAGAATAGCATCAGAGCTATCCCTAATGGCCAGAATATGTCTTAAACAACAAAATTTGTCTCTCTAAGTATAAAAGGAAGCTCCAATACTCAAAGAAGTAAGATTAAAGCACAAAGGAGCCATTTTGAATAAAAAACCCAAATACCTTCACCAAAACCACTTGTTATTCATTCCTATTTTAGAAAAAGTGTTTGAGTTTGATTGTATTCTTTCAAGATTTGTAAAGGTACCTAGTTGTACTTTTTTTTTTCTTGAGAATTTAAAGTATGGGGAGCATTTAAAAGTCATTGTAAGGGATTAGAGCTTGGGTTAGAAGTTCACTTTTTAAAAGCTTGACGGAAGCTGTTAATTCTGCTAGTGTAGTGAAGTTGGGTTAAAAATCATTGATTAGGAGATCAAAGTAGTAGATGTATGTCAAAAGGACTGAACCACAATAGATACTTTTGCATTGTCCACTTCTCTTTACTTTTCATTACTAGGTGTCTTTTAATTCTAACAAGTTCTAAACCATCTTTCCTCTAGCTAATTAAGAGCTCTACAAGCTTAAAAGTGTAAATTTTAAAATTTTTAATACTATTTATCCCCTTCTAGCATTTCAATGGAAACAACACTTTCCTCCCAAGTCAACAAAAGTAACTTTTTTTTAAGTAAAAAAGAACTTCTTGTTGGACATCCTGTATATTTGAACCCACGATGGTATAGAACCAAGAGTGAGATTGACATATCAAGTGAAAGTTTTTTTGGTAAGAGACTTGGAGAATTCCTTGAACTTCAAATCATCTTCCAATCCTGCTACTATGAGAGTCTCCACAAATTTTATGATATGTTCCTGAGTATTACCAGTCTTATCATTGAATTGTTTAATTATTAATTACAAAAATTTAATTAAATATAATAAAAAATTAAATATTTATTTAATTTTTTTAAAAATAATTCGTAGGATTATTTTAGATATTATGAATTTATTTTTTCTAAAAGTTTGACTGCCCTTTGATGATTTGAGCAAACTTTGCAGCAACAGCTAAACGCTCTGAATTAGCTTTTCAGCAGAACACTCATGCGCAAGAATGCTTTCTTCAATCTCCTCAAAACGCCTCACCCCCTTTTCTCTGCTTTCGCCTATTCGTCTGCTCTTTTCCTCCACTTCCGGCTTTTTGTTCCTAAACCCCACTTCCCATTTCCACTGTCAACCCCCAAATCCCCTCCCAGACCAACCCAACTTCGACCACCAAACTGTCCGCGAAACCCTCTCTTGCTACTCCAACGACTGGAAACGTGCGTTGGAGTTCTTCAACTGGGTCGAAACCCAATGCCAATTCCCCCACACCACTGAAACCTTCAACAAAATGTTAGACATTTTGGGTAAGTATTTCGAGTTCGATCTTTCGTGGGATTTGATTGATAGAATGAAAAACAACCCTTGTTCGATACCCGATCACGCTACGTTTCGCATCATGTTTAAGCGTTATATTACTGCTCATCTTGTTAAAGAAGCTATAAGTACTTTTGATAGATTAGAAGAGTTCAATTTGAAAGATGAAATTTCATTCTGTAATCTTGTTGATGCACTTTGTGAGTATAAGCATGTGATTGAGGCGCAAGAATTGTGTTTTTTTGGTAAAATTAAGGAAATTCGTTTGAGTGTGAATGATACTAAGATTTATAATATGATTCTTCGTGGGTGGTTTAAAATGGGGTGGTGGAGTAAATGTAGGGAATTTTGGGAGGAAATGGATAAGAAGGGTGTTCAAAAAGATTTGCATTCGTATTCTATTTATATGGATATAATGTGCAAGAGTGGGAAGCCGTGGAAGGCGGTGAAGTTGTATAAGGTGATGAAGAAGAAAGGGATGACGTTGGATGTTGTGGCCTACAATACAGTTATTCGTGCTATTGGTATTTCAGAAGGTGCAGATTTTGGTGTTGGGGTGTTTAGGGAGATGAGGGATTTAGGTTGTGAGCCAAATGTTGTGACTTATAATACAGTCATAAAGCTTTTGTGTGAGAATGGGAGGGTGAGGCAAGCTTACGCGGTGCTTGATCAAATGCTAAAGAAGGACTGTGCACCTGATGTGATTACGTATCATTGTTTCTTTGGGTGTCTTGAGAAGCCAAGAGAGATTCTTAAGCTGTTTGATTTGATGATTACGAATGGGATTCAGCCAAGGATGGACACCTATGTAATGCTTATGAGGAAGTTTGGAAGATGGGGATTTCTTCGACCGGTTTTCATGGTTTGGAAGAAGATGGAAGAACTTGGAAGTAGTCCAAATGAGTTTGCTTACAATGCTCTCATTGATGCTTTGATTCAAAAGGGCATGTTAGATATGGCTAGGAAGTATGATGAGCAAATGTTAGCAAAGGGGCTTTCATCTAAGCCAAGGAAAGAATTGGGAACAAAGTTGGTGCAAGGCGGAGAAGATACTTGATAGCTCAATGCTTATAAATTAGTTTGAAAATGAGGCAGTTTCCACTGAAATTCCGTTGTCAGAATGAAGGAAGTTGGCTTGTCAGTCTAGGTTGTGCTCTGTGGGAAGTGCCTGTAGATATGTTGAAAAATTATAACAAGTTTTTCTATAGCTGGAGGCTGTTGGCTAGGGTGGAGCAGTTGATGGGCAATAATGTGGGATTATCGTATCAAATTATACTTATGTTCTCTTGAGGGCATGCGAGCATGTTTTTGGCTAGACAAAGGATCGCTGAATGCCCAGGTGAACTGAATCTGATGTTGCCTGCATGCTTTCATCTAAGCTCTGAGAACAGCAGGAATGAAGCTGGTACAGGAAATGCTTACGGTTGATGGTTCAGAAAAAGAGAGTTCTTTTTAAACTAGGAAGTGTCGTTTTTCACTGGCAACTCTAAATCTGCTTGAAGTATATAGAAGTCCTATCAATTATTGGATTCGCAAAGGCTGAAGCCTGCCAAGAAAAGGTTTCCAGCATTTGAAATGTTCCATGAGTTTCTATTTGGTAGCATGTTCTTACTTCCTTAGATCACCTTGCAATGATTGTCTCTCTTCTCTCTATCTCTTTCCTTCTTCCTTTTAGCTTTATAATAATTCTTTGATCACTCTATCCCCCATTCTCCTGCTATCCTATCTGTAAGTGCTAATCAGATCAAATATCTTGCATTCATGCTTTTGCTAGTCTGCTTGCTCAGACAAACATCTAGAGCCCTGCAAGTCCTGCATCTCCAAAATCGTAGTAATTCTGCTTTTTTTTCTGAAATTTCCCTCTTTTTCATGAAGATGTAGACAACTCGAGCACTTCCCTCTAGTTTTCACCCTTTTTTGGTTTATCAACATCTCAACTCTGCTCACCAGGATAAGTGTGATGGTACCTACTTTTCCAACAATTTTCCTCAATTACATGGAGATTTCAACATCTCAGGTAGTTTCCCTTCTACCTCTGCCTTAATCATATTTATGTCTTTTTTGTTTTAACTTTTTTTCAGTAGTATAAATATTCTAAAAGAATATTTGCAGTTGAGCAATCATAAACTACTCATTGTTGAGATTGTGACTTGCATAGGTGCATCATACAAGACAAACTGGCACAAACAATAGTGTTTTCCAAGCTATACAGCACAACCAAAAAACTGAAGGATACTAGAAGATACTGGCTTATTCTTTGCACTGAGTTATGTTCTTCAGGTATAAGTATGATATCTTCTGAACACTGTTTGCAATTTTAAATAACTTGTTATATCAACTTGCATTTGTGCCTTTCAAAAAATTTTGCATTTGTGTTTCCAGCTGCCTGTATGAAGGCATATGCATGTGACAATAGCCTTTCTGAGGGCATCTTTTTATACTCTGTAAGATAACATGCTTTTGTTACTATTACTCCACAGTTGAATCTGCAATTTTCTTGTCTGAAAGAAGAATGTAAATGGTACTTTTATCGTGGAAGCATTTCTTGTGTGAAGTCTTCCTCTTCTTTCTTGAGATCTCCTCTGGCAACCCCATTCACCTGTAGGTTCATTCTGTAAATGCTTTACATTTTTTGTATAATCAGCAACTCTCTAGCAGTTTGTGTGGAGGAAATTCTGTTGCAATCCTCCTTTGTTGAACAATTGTGTAATGGTTATTGATGTAAAATCTTGAAAAAGAATGTAAGTCTTAACTCTTTTAATGAATTTTCATATTATGTTAATGACAAATTCTTGTCCGGTCTTCATTAGTTCAGACTGGTTGCAGCTAGATTTTGTCTAGAAATAACCTTTGCTTGGTTTTTCTCTTACAACCCTCATCCTTAATATATGAGCTTGACTATGCAAATACATCTGAAGATCAATTGTAAATGTGTAACATCAGATTTGGGTTGAGGTTTAGACTAATTGGAAAAGTGGACGGCGTGACGACTAGAGGTGGACTGAAGGTGGTGGGGTGGTGGCAGTCATCCCTCAGTTTTTAATTTTTGTTCCGAATTGAATTATTGATCCAATCCATGATCTTGTATGATTACTCTTTAGTCACTCTTTATGCAAAATCTTGAGACCGTAATTGACAACTCTAATTACATGGGAATGATAGGTTAGTAGTCATTGTTTTTTATTGCAAAATGATTAGGGTTTGTCTTTCCATTGGCGATAATTGTAACCAAAGCATGAATACATAAACTCAGTATAATCGGCTCTTCATTGACTATTAAATACTGCCCCATTGGTTTTGTTTTCCTCGCTTTTCTTCCTTGGTTAGGAACATTCTGGCTCTTTGGAACGTAAAATTTGAAGGTCAAATGCCAGTAACGTTCTTTCGTATTTTACAAGCGTAACTCTCGACTTTCCTTCACTGCCTTTCTTTGGGTGTTGCCTGCTCATCTTTTTCAATATCCAAGCCCCTTTTTTTCAAATAAATTATTATTAGTATAATTAGTGGCAGGATTAAGATTTCGTGTTTGGGGTGAAGAGTTGAAGATAATATTTAAAAATAATTCATACTAGAAGTTCAATGTTTGATAAAAATATAATACAATCTAGACGGAAAAAGTTTATATAAAAATTATATAAATAAATTTTAAAAATTATTTTAAAAAATCAATCTTAATAATTTACTTAAAAGAATTAACTATTATGATCATAAATAATTTAATAATGATAATAATCTCAATTTCTAGATGAACTTAACAATAACAAAAATTAACAAATCTAATAACAAATATCGCAACAGGAAGCAATTGCTTAAAAAATATTAAAAGCTATTAATAAATAATTCAATAGGGAAGCAATTCGTTAAAATTAATTACAAAATTTAAATGCGATATCAATAAACAATTCAATGAGGAAACAATCTCAAATAAAAAAGTTAATTTTTTACAAAAATCTAAGCAAAAAAAAAAACAAAGAATTGTAGGAAAGTAATCTAGCAATCCTTAAATAAATAAGAATGAATTGACCTTAGGTGCTTAATCAAATTCTTATTTTGTTGCTTTCAATAAAAAATGATTAAGACCGTAAATCTTAAATCAAAATTTAAAGTTGAAAATATTAAAAATAAAATAAATAAATAAATCAAACTTATTAATTATTATGACATAAAAATTGACTTACTAACTAGAAGTTTTCTGTATAAAAAATGCTGACAAGTGAAAAAGTGTAAAAAATGATTTTTTGGTTTCTACAGAATTTGGTAAAAAGAAAAGAGAACTAGAGATGGTGGTTGTGAAGTTTTAAAGTAGAAATTTGAGAATAATTTTATTGCTATAGATTTTATTTTAGTCTTATTAAAATTAATTGCTGAGTAATTGTTGTGGACATATCACTAAATTAAAAATTATTGTAAAGAAAAAATTATAAAATTTCAAAAAATAAAAATATGTTAGAAAAATTTTAAAAATTTTATAAAGGTGAAATTATAAGATTTCGAAAAAATAAAGATAAGTTATAAAAAATTTAAAATTGTTAGGGGGGGAAGGCCCCTTCTAGCCCTCTCCCCTATGCCTCTAAGTATAATGTTTTAAAAGGTTTTGGTTTAATCTTCTATTAAGTTTAATCAAATATTCATATTTTTTTATTTTAAATGAAATAAATTTTTATAATAAACGGTTGACTAACTATCATTAATCAAAATGATATTTGTTATTTTATACTAATATGATGTTGAAATAAAAAGTGAAAAATGACATGAGATCATGTCATTATATTATACTAATATATTATATTTTTATTTATAATAATATATTAACATATTACGTCAGTGTCGCGTGATGAAAAAAACAAATTACGTTTTAATTAATAAAATGATTTATTTGACTTAAAATAAAATTATAAAGATTTAATCGAATATAATAAAAAATTTATTTAAACCTTTTTAAATAATTCAAATTTTTTTGAAGTATTATATTATTATTATTATTTATAGAAATGAAAAATAAAATAGTATTTCTAATAACTTATATTTACCATGTGCAACACAAGTTTGATTGAAAGATTCCAAGTCATTTTGCCTTCGGCTTCTTAGGAAAACCGTCCTTTTCAGTCTTCTCCTAGCTCTTTGTTTTGAACATAATCTCTTTAGACTGAGTTTGAAATTTGTTGTTTTAATTGAGAAAAACTCAATTTGAAAGGCATTTGAAATGTACTGTCTATAATTGATAAGCAATTGGTGAATCAAGATCGACAGCTGCAGTTGTGGGTTGTGTTATCCGAGATAACACAAGGATTATCAAAACAGGTTTACTATGAACATGTGAGATATAAACAATAAAAATACTTATAAGTTACATTGTTTAATGAATGAAAATGGAGAGTGTTGAATTCTATAACTCAATCCTCACATGTACAAGTGATGCCCTTGAATACCTAGGATTTCATATAAAACTGTTTGAATCGTCATATTGGTCACCCATAAGGCACTTTTTCAATAGATTGAGATACCATACCTGCAATTTATATTTATGGATAACATGATTTGCACACACAAGCTTAGATCTATACTTTTCAAGCACTCTGATGAATGATTACTTCAATAAATTATAACAAAAAATGAGAGAAAGAAGAGGCTCGAAGGTTTGCCGATGGCATCCATGGAAACACATTATTTTAACGTGAGAAACGCATTTCTCATTTCTTTCTACTTGGTAAAGCAACCGAACCAACTTTACATTAATGGCGATGATGTTTCTGCTGTTAAATACTCCCATAAAAGCTTCGTTCTCATAACCCCAACACCAAGAACTTAAACTGCCAGGCTTCCAAAAGCTTCTCCCCGGAAATAGCAAACATGTCTGCTCTCCAGGCTACCACGTCCTCCACTTCCAAATCCAACTTTGATGAGCGTCGATGGGTTATCAACATTCGTCGATCCCTGGATGAAGAGCTCGAAGGAGAAATCGAAGTTCCGGTTTGCATTTTCAATGTTCCCAAAACACTAATGTCTAGTGATCCTGAATCCTACATCCCTCAATTGGTGGCTCTGGGTCCTTACCATTATTGGCGTCCGGAGCTTTATGAGATGGAAAGATACAAATTGGCTGCAGCGAAAAGAACTCAGAAGCAGCTGCAATGTCTTAATTTTCATACTCTTGTTGACCAATTGGCAAAGCTTGAACCCCGGATTCGAGCATGTTATCACAACTATCTGGAATTCAATGGTGAAACGTTAGCTTGGATGATGGCCATTGATGCTTCATTCTTGCTTGAGTTTCTTCAAATCTACGCTCTCAAAGAAGGAAAGACTCTGTCAAGAGTTTCCTCAAGGATGTCACATTTGGTTGATTATGCAGGGAGGAAGTCAGCTCACAATGCAATTCTGAGAGACATTGTGATGCTTGAGAATCAAATTCCTCTGTTCATTCTTCGAAAGGTGCTAGAAGTCCAATACTCGTCAATGGAAACAGCTGATGATATGTTACTTTCGATGTTAAGGGGGTTATGTCAAGAGCTCTCCCCTTTTAAAATGATGGAGAACATGCCAAAGATTGATATCTGCAGGTGTGCTCATGTTCTAGACTTTCTGTACGACATGATCGTGCCGAAAATGGATGAACCATCCGTAACAAACGAAGCAGAGGATCAGAAAGAAGCCCCAGAAGACAAACAAAGTGATATGGATTCTACAGATCCAAGTTATTTAAAACAACTGCTGGGTGAGGCATGGAATCTGCTTTCGAAAATAAAGAGAGGTCCGTTGCGTCTCATCAAAGCAGTGCTGCTATCCAGACCTGTTAGAGTCATACTAAAATTGCCCTGGAAAATCCTCTCCAACCTCCCTGGATTTTCAATCCTGAAGCAACCGATTGAATATCTGCTATTTTCACAAGACAAGGAAGAAGAAAAACCAGAAAACAGTTCTGGCCTCAACAAGCCACCCCTGGTAGAGGAGATTGCAATTCCCTCCGTTGCTGACCTTTCTAAATCAGGGCTCCGTTTTTCACCCACTAATGATAGCATTTCAAACATTAGTTTTGATGTCAAAACTGTTACTTTATATCTCCCTACTATCAGTTTAGACATTAATACAGAGGTGGTCTTGAGGAACTTGGTCGCATATGAAGCATCAAACGCATCAGGGCCTTTGATTTTCACTCGCTATACCGAATTGATGAATGGAATTATCGATACCGAGGAAGATGTCAAGTTACTGAGAGAAAGTGGCGTAGTTTTAAATCATTTAAAGAGTGATGAAGAGGCTGCAGACTTGTGGAATGGGATGAGTAAGTCCATCAGACTGACCAAAGTCCCGTTCTTAGATAAGGTGATTGAAGATGTTAACAGGTATCACAATTGCAGATGGAAAGTTAAAGCCAGAAACTTCTTTAAGCATTATGTATATGGTTCCTGGCAGTTTTTGACATTGCTAGCTGCAATGATGCTTCTAATCTTGATGACATTCCAGGCCTTTTGCTCCATTTATAGCTGCTCCAGAATGTTAGGCACCCAGAAATCTGATTGACTTCCTTTGCTGCATATATATCCTTACTCCTTAGTTTGCCCAAGATGTAGTACCCCTAATCTTTATTTTTATTTTCTATTTTTTGTTTGATTGTTTTGTTGAGTATATTGTTGTCTGGAGTGAGACTTTAATTTGTATACAACAGTTCTTAATTAATTGAAAATTTATTTGGTGTGTGAATAAAGTGAATTATGATTTATTTTCATTAAAATATCTCAACCGTTACGATTTCGTATTATAATTTACAAGTTTTACATTCTAATCTCGGATAAAAGAGATGGAATACCTTGGAT